GACACAGTAAATAAATTAAGGGTAAAACTCAACTATTTAATGTGATAATGTATATTCCCTTAACTCTTCAGAGCCTTTGCATTCTTCTGATCCATAATTAGAATGTCCATTTGTAAAGAACACATGATGTTCCAAAATCTAAAATGTCTTAGGTTAGAAACTGTTCAACAGTAAGTTATAGAATCAAACAGAGGCCTGCAGTATTCAGTACAGTAACCTGGTGTAAGGTTTGTAGTCTAGGAGCAATAGGCTAAACCATATAGCCTGGATGTGTAGTAGGCTATACCATCTAGGTTTGTTTAAGTATGCTTGATGATGTTTGCACAAATTGGAAATTGCCTAATGAACATATTTTCTCAGAACATATTCCCTTCATTAATTGATACATGACTATAATCCTAATTTTCAGATAATTTGGGGGAAAAAATTTTCAGATTTGAAAAAATGAATTTAGGAAAGATTCTACCAAATACAAAAATGTAATATAAAGCTTAGCAATTAAAAAGGGTCATAATGACCCAGGAATAGCTAATGACACAGAAGTAGATCAAATGGAACAAAATAGAGATCTTCAAAACAAACAAAATAGGTGCAGTATATGGAAATTGAATGTGTGAGAAAGGTGATATTTCAAATAAGTGGGTTAGATGCTCTCATTTGCCTACCCATCAGCCATTTCTCTCTCCCTTCCTTGTTAACAAAGCCCCGTTTTTGTTTTGGTCTTAACTCAGTATGGCTGGCTGCCTTGTGCTGTTGAATAGGCTGTTTCCCTAGTCCCAGAGGGTGAAATCCTGGCTAATCAGACAAATGGGAGAAGTCTGAAGGGCTTTTGGGAAATTTTTTGTTGTTCTTAAAAATGGATACAAGATAGGTATCTGCCCCCTCTCCTTTTCTGCTTCTCAGTGAAAACACATAACGATGAATGTTTGGAGCTAATCTGTAACAACTGTTTGCTGACTATGAAGGGACAAGCATGGAGATGAAAGCCATCACACTGAGGACAGCAGGATGCAGAAAGCACCTGAACTGTGCTTCCAAATTAACTGCTTTACCTTTGGATTTTTTGTTATTTGAGATATTAAATTCCTTATATTGTTCAAGTAAAAAAAAAAGAATCAAACACAGGAAAAAGAAAATGATGAACTTATTACAAAACCTGTTAAATGACTCAAATACACATATGAACTTGATTTTAAGATTAAATAAAACATTGTAATTAAAAAGATAGATATTTTGATATATCACTTATGCATGTAGTATTCTAACCAAAAATGTCTGATCCCAATCTTGGCATAAGGAAACATCAGACAAATCCCAATTGGTGGAAATTCTATGAAATAACTGGCTTGAATTCTTCAAAAATGCTATGTGATAAAAGAGAAAAAAAGG